GGAGGGGCTGGGAAAGGCGGGATTGGATCATTCCGAGAGGGAAGGTTGGGAATGGCAGCCGGATCCCGAATTTTGGGATTCCCACTCATCCCGTGGCTGTTTGGGACGATTTGGATTCTCCATCTTCCTTTTCTTCATATCCATGATTTTTTGGGGTGGAAAAGCACAAATCCCATGGTGGAGGGGCTGGGAAAGGCAGGGATTTATGGAATCTAAGGGGAAAAGTTGGGAATGGCAGCCACATCCCGAATTTTGGAGAGTGTAGTGACATTCTGCCTGATTTGGGTTCTCCATCCCCTTACCTTTCACATCCATGATTTTTTGGGGTGGAAAAGCACAAATCCCATGGTGGAGGGGCTGGGAAAGGCAGGGATTTATGGAATCTAAGGCGAAAAGTTGGGAATAGTAGCCACATCTTGATTTTTGGGATTCCCACTCATCCCGTGCTCATTTTGGGACAAAAATAAGCACAAATGCCACAGTGGAGGGGCTGGGAAAGGCGGGATTGGGGCATTCCAAGGGAAGGTTGGGATTGGCAGCGGGATCCGGTGCCAGTGCCGGGTCTGGGCTCGCGCAGCTCGGCGCCGCTGAGCATTCCGTGCACATTTTGGGACAATTTGGTTTCTCCATCCTCTTCCCCTGTGATCCATGATTTTTTGGGGTGGAAAAGCACAAATCCCATGGTGGAGGGGCTGGGAAAGGCGGGATTGGGGCATTCCGAGGGGGAAGGTTGGGAATGGCAGCCGGATCCCGAATTTTGGGATTCCCACTCATCCCGTGCCTGTTTGGGACGATTTGGGTTCTCCATCTTCCTTTTCTTCATATCCATGATTTTGGGGTGGAAAAGCAGAAATGCCACAGTGGAGAGGCTGGGAAAGGCGGGATTGGGGCGTTCCGAGGGCAGGTTGGGATTGGCAGCGGGATCCCGAATTTTGGGATTCCCACTCATCCCATGCACGTTTTGGGACAATTTGGTTTCTCCATCCTCTTCCCCTGTGATCCATGATTTTTTGGGGTGGAAAAGCACAAATGCCATGGCGGAGGGGCTGGGAAAGGCGGGATTGGGTCGTTCTGAGGGCAGGTTGGGATTGGCAGCGGGATCTGGTGCCAGTCCCGGGTCTGGGCTCGCGCAGCTCGGCGCCGCCGAGCATTCCGTGCACATTTTGGGACAATTTGGTTTCTCCATCCTCTTCCCCTGTGATCCATGATTTTTTGGGGTGGAAAAGCAGAAATGCCACAGTGGAGGGGCTGGGAAAGGCGGGATTGGGGCGTTCCGAGGGCAGGTTGGGAATGGCAGCCGGATCCGGTGCCAGTGCCGGGTCTGGGCTCCCAGCTCGGCGCCGCCGTGCACAACCCCGTGCGCTCCTCGCTGCTGGGCTGCGCCGCCGTCAGCACCTCCCTGCCCCAGGGCTTCCTCTGGGTGAGCGCCGAGCCGGGATTGGGATTGGTATTGGGATTGGGATTGGGATTGGGTTGGGATTGGGATTGGGATTATCAGGGGTTTGGGATTGGGATTGGGATTGGGATTGGGATTTGTGGTTATCCAGGGTTTGGGGTTTGAGTTCTGGGGTTATCTGGGGTTATCAGGGGTTTGGGATTGGGATTTGGGATTGGGGTTATCGGGGGTTGGGGGTTTGGGATTGGGGTTTGGGGGTTGGGGTTTGGGATTGGGGTTTGGGGTTTGGGATTGGGGTTTGAGGTTTGGGGTTTGGGGTTTGGAGTTATCTGGGGTTTGGGATTTGGGGTTTCGGGTTATCTGGGGTTTGGGGTTTGGGATTGGGGTTTGGGGTTTGGAGTTTGGGATTGGGGTTTGGGATTGGGATTGGGGTTATTGGGGGTTTGGGATTTGGGGGTTGGGGTTATCTGGGGTTTGGGGTTTGGGGTTATCTGGGATTTGGGGTTATCTGGGGTTTGCAGTCTGGGGTTATTTGGGGTTTGGGCTAATCTGGGATTTGGGGTTATCTGGGGTTTCGGGTTTTGGGTTTGTGGTTTGGGGTTATCTGGGGTTTGGAGTTTGGGGTTATCTGGGGTCTGGGATTTGGGGTATTAGGTTTGGGATTATCTGGGGTTTGGGGTTATCTG